CATTTCCTCAGTCTCCCCTCCCCCCCCCAGTGATCAGTCTGCTGCAAACAGGAGGAAGCATTTCTCCTCAGTCTCCCCTCCCCCAGTGATCAGTCTGCTGCAGGCAGGAGGAAGCATTTCTCCTCAGTCTCCCCTCCCCCCCAGTGATCAGTCTGCTGCAAACAGGAGGAAGCATTTCTCCTCAGTCTCCCCTCCCCCCCAGTGATCAGTCTGCTGCAAACAGGAGGAAGCATTTCTCCTCAGTCTCCCCTCCCCCCCAGTGATCAGTCTGCTGCAAACAGGAGGAAGCATTTCTCCTCAGTCTCCCCTCCCCCCCAGTGATCAGTCTGCTGCAAACAGGAGGAAGCATTTCCTCAGTCTCACCTCCCCCCCTCCTCAGTCTGCTGCAGGCAGGAGGAAGCATTTCTCCTCAGTCTCCCCTCCTCCAGTCTGAGCTCTGCTGTGCAAGTACTGCCGAGGGCCGATATGGGCCGCATTCACATACTTACACTGCTTGTATTTAATATTATACCCTCAATGATGTATTAACCAATCAGGAGCTGCATTCATCGGCGTCTAATCTGCCTGCATATGATTTTGGTGATAAATAGCGCAGTGGTTAGCACTGGGGGGTCCCCGGGTTCGAATCCCGGCCAGGACACTATCTGCATGGAGTTTGCATGTCCTCCCTGTGCTGCGCGGGGGTTTCCTGCCACACCCCAGAGACATGCTGGGAGGGGAATTGGCTCCTAGAGAGGGAATTTCGATTGTAAGCTCCTCGGGGCAGCGACTGATGTGCGCTGTGTAAATTCCGGGCGCTCTATAAAATAAAAATAATCCTCTTTCTTTCCTTAAACAAAAGAAAATGTCACCGGGACAGGAAGTGATGATAAATCTTCCCAATAGGGGACACGGACCTCAGGAAGAAGGTCACAATGTAAGTGGAAACCTTCCAATGGGGACGCCTGGTCCAGTGACAACGAGGAAGGGAATTCCCTCACTTTGGAGACTTCCTCTCCGGGACAGGAAGTAAAAGAAATCTCCCCAACAGATCACAGGTGGATAACAA